TTTCGGTTATTAGCTAATTATTTTTGTAAACAACTATTGTAACAAGCACCTGTGTACATTAAAAAAACCTCGTCTGTTTTAGCACTATGCAATGATAGTGCTAAATCAGCAGCGATGGCGTAGTGATTAGAGCATCCGCCTCGCATGCAAAAGGTCCGTGGTTCAAATCCCGGTGCCGCACAGTTCCCAACCGGATAAAAAAAATCCGCATGGTGATGGAACTGCATTACGAGGCCTGGGGTGCGGCCTCACCGGTAACCACCGCCGCGAACGCACTCCCTCACCAGAGAAGGATTGGCCACCCTGGTGCAGTATCTGGCCGCTACCTCCCACATGCAAACGTCAAATAACTCACGGCCCTCAGTCCCCAGCAGCTGCGAAGCAACTGACCACGGCGGCGGTCAGATCTGCAACGCAGCAGAGGGTGCTAAGAATCTCTGGATCCGGACAGGCCGCCATTGGAACCTGAACTTGGCAACGTTTAACGCTAGAGCCTTATCTAGTGAGGGAAGTCTAGTTGTACTATTCGAGGAGCTAGAGGGTGTTAAATGGAATATAATAGGGCTCAGTGAGGTTAGGAGGACAGATGAGGCCTATACGGTGCTACAGAATGGGCACGTCCTTTGCTATCGGCGCTTGGTTGACAGAAGAGAACTGGGAGTGGGGCTCCTAATTCACAGAAACATAGCTGGCAACATAGAGGAATACTATAGCATTAATGAAATGGTGGTAGGTATCGTAATTAAACTGAATAAGAGATACAAGATGAAGGTGGTACAGGCCTACGCGCCTACATCCAGCCATGATGACGCTTCAGTTGAAAGTTTCTATGAAGATGTGGAATCGGCAATGAGTAAGGTAAAAACAAAGTATACAATACTGATGGGAGACTTTAATGCAAAGGTAGGGAAGAAGCAGGCTGGAGACCAGTCAGTAGGAGATTATAGCATCGGTACTAGAAACGCCAGAGGAGAGCTACTAGTAGAATTCGCAGAACGCAATAACTTACGGATTTTAGATACCTTCTACCGAAAACGAGGAAACCGCAAGTGGACATGGAGGAGCCCTAATGGCGAAAATAAAAACGAAATAGACTTTATAATGAGTGCACACCCAGGCATCGTGCAGGATGTGGAAGTGGTTGGCAAGGTACGATGCAGTGACCATAAAATGGTACGGTCTCGAATTCGCCTAGACTTGAGAAAGGAACGACAGAAACTAATACGCAAGAAGCCAATCAATGAGCTAGCACTGAGAGGGAAAGTACAGGAATTCAGAGTCTCACTTCAGAACAGGTACTCGGCTCTTAGTGAGGACACCAACCTTAGCATAGATACGATGAATAATAATCTGACGAGTATCATTACGGAGTGTGCAGTAGAAGTTGGAGGCAGGGTAGTTAGACAGGACACTGGCAAGCTTTCCCAGGAGACGAAGAATCTCATTAAGAAGCGCCAAATCATGAAAGTCTCAAGTACAACAGACAAAGAGCTTTCGAAGTTGATTAATAGGCGTAAGGTATCCGATGTAAGAAGGTATAACATGGAGAGAATTGAACACGCTCTGAAAAACGGAGGAAGCGTCAAAGCAGGGAAGAGGAAACTTGGGATAGGCAAAAATCGGATGTATGCACTAAGGGACAAAGAGGGCAAAATAACTACCAATATGGATAGGATAGTTGAAATAGCGGAGGAGTTTTACAGAGATCTGTACAGTAGCAGGGACAACCACGACTTTAATACTATAAGAACTAGCAGTAACCCAGATGACACCCCACCAGTAATGATAGAAGAAGTCAGAAAAACTTTGGAGAGCATGCAAAGAGGCAAAGCTGCTGGTGAGGATCAGGTAACATCAGATCTGCTGAAAGATGGAGGACAGATTGTGTTATAAAAACTAGCCAGCCTGTTTACGAGGTGTCTCCTGACGGGAAGAGTACCAGAGTCTTGGAAGAACGCTAACATCATCTTAATACATAAGAAAGGAGATGACAAGGACTTAAAGAATTACAGGCTGATTAGCTTGCTCTCTGTAGTATACAAGCTATTTACAAAGGTAATTGCTAACAGAGTAAAAAAACATTAGAATTCAATCAACCAAAGGAACAAGCAGGATTTCGAACAGGCTACTCAACAATCGACCACATTCATACTATCAATCAGGTAATAGAGAAATGCTCAGAATATAACCAACCACTATACATAGCCTTCATAGATTACGAGAAGGCGTTTGATTCAGTAGAAATATCAGCCGTCATACAGACACTGTGGAATCAGGGCGTAGATGAAGTATATATAAACATCCTGGAAGAAATCTACAGGGGATCAACTGCTACCATAGTGCTTCATAAAGAAAGCAACAGAATACCAATCAAAAAAGGTGTAAGGCAGGGGGACACAATCTCCCCAATGCTATTTACCGCGTGCTTACAGTAGGTTTTCAGAAGCCTAGGATGGGAACAGCTAGGGATAAGAGTTAATGGAGAGTACCTTAGTAACCTGCGCTTCGTCGATGACATTGCATTGCTGAGTAACTCAGGGGAAGAATCGCAACTCATGATTACGGAGTTTGACAAGGAGAGCAGAAAGGTGGGTCTTAAAATGAATCTGAAAAAAACGAAAGTAATGTACAACAACCTCGGAAAAGAGCAGCGCTTCGAGATAGGTAATAGTGCACTTCAAGTTGTAAAAGACTATGTCTACTTAGGGCAGGTCATAACCGCGGAGCCGAACCACGAGATTGAAGTAACTAGAAGAATAAGAATGGGGTGGAGCACATTTGGCAAGCACCCTCCAATTATGACAGGTAAATTGCCACTATCCCTCAAGAGAAAGGTATATAACAGCTGTATCTTGCCGGTACTTAGCTACGGAGCAGAAACCTGGAGACTTAAAGAGAGGGTTCAGCTTAAATTGAGGACGACGCAGCGAGCAATGGAAAGAAAAGTTGTAGGTGTAAACTTAAGAGACAAGAAGAGAGCTGAGTGGATTAGGGAACAAACGGGGGTTAAGGATATCATAGCTAAAATCAAGAAGAAGAAATGGACATGGACTGGGCATGTAGCGCGTAGACAGGATAACCGCTGGTCGTTAAGGGTAACTAACTGGATTCCCAGAGAAGGCAAGCGGGTTAGGGGGAGACAGAAGGTTAGGTGGGCAGATGAGATTAAGAAGTTTGCGGGTATAAATTAGCAGCAGCAAGCACAGGACTTGGTTAACTGGCGGAACATGGGAGAGGCCTTTGTCCTGCAGTGGACGTAGTCAGGCTGCTGATGATGATGATGATGATGATGATGATGATGATCCTGATAGCTTAAGGGGAAATGAAGTACAGTTAACCTCAGCCAGTTGCCGGAAAAGATGAAAAAAAAAGTTACGTTTACGAGACGTCTACAAGAACTATTTACCAGATGCTATCCGGACACTTCATCTGGACGATGACACCACTTATCTGTCGCGTTTGTCGGTGGTCGCGAATCCCCGACGCCGTGAATCTCTTTAGATGCATGATGTTCAACAGCGCAGACAAGGAAAGGTTGAACAGAAAACAGGACAAGCATGTATTATCACTCCTTCTTGAGATGCACCTCAGAAAAAAATATACTCTTGTTACGCAACTGCTCTCTCAACGAGACACTTGATATGCCTTAGGTGAATTTCCAGAAAACCGCTTATCTTGGAGCACGTTTTCAAGTGATCTGGATGCCCTCAAGACTACGAAGCACCCATGTTAAGACACCGATTATGCAAACATCTTATCCGATCGCCTTCGTAAAAAGGAAGCCGATGAGACAGAAAAGGCGCAAGTTTGCTTTAATCTCGTCAAGCAACCGCGGTGAATCAACGCACTGATATGCGATAAGAGAAGTCAGCCACTGTATGTTTCGTATCAGTTGCACTTGCGTATCACTGCGTGCTTGCGCAGTGTTTATGGCATTGCCACTTCTCGTATTCCAAGGAAGCTTCGCGACGTACAAGTCTAAACATTCTTATCGATATCAAAATAAGCCTTGCGACCTATTCGCCCAGACCGTCATGCCTGTAATATCGAGAGGTGAATCGAGGGAAAGGAAGCAACGGTATTTTCTTTAGCGACAATCACACAAAGCTATAGTCAATAAAATAGTGGACCGCTCATTAAAAATATATGTTCGTTCAATTTAATTATATCTACAGCGCTCTGAGACTTGTTTGTGCAAATAAACACTGCAGTCAAAAATAAAAATCTTTCTCGTACTACAATGGATTGATTGTTCTTAGAATTCACTGAATATGTCGTGCGAGTTTAAATGCTAAAGGTACCAAGTAATACGTAAATAGAAGCTCTATATGCGCTCACAAACCCGCTTCTCCATCTCATACCTGTCTTCCTTCTCTGTGTTTGAAGTGTTCAACAAGCTTAGAGAAACTATCCCCAGAACAAATTATTTCACAATGTCTTGTATGACCACCTCTTTCCGGGATGCTTATCTGCATATATAACGTAGCAACATTCGTCAGGAACAACTCATGAAAGAATAGACAAGATGTTTCTTTATAACGCTGCCCATTTGAGCCCTCACTGTCTGCTTCGGAATGTCTTTAGCGCTGGCGATAGCGGGACCGAGTGAGCAAGCTGTCAGCACAGGGGAGGGTGAAAACAGACCCAGAGTGCAACGTATGATGAATGACAATGTCATACTAGAGAGCAAGAGGAGAGAAGTGAAGGAAGAAAGGAAGTGAATGAAGGAAACAGGAAAAGGAGAGCATGGACCGGACGACACAGTGCAGCATGAAACCACATCGAACATGCCCTTCGTTCCACTTATACCTTCCATCCACTCCATTCTATCTGCTTTCTACCAGTACTCCCCACCCATGCTTTCTGCTATCTGCATTTTCAATCTGAACCCTCATCATGCGATTTCAATCTGCAATACCTTGGGTCGGCACTACCTTCGGTCGCCCCTACCTTCGGTCGGCACTTTCAATGTGTTTCGGTTCTATATATGCCGTTCTCACCAGTGGCATGAAGAGGAACTGGCAGGCGATTCCAAGCAGCGGGGCCAGTGGCTTTTTGAGCGTGGTGATGATGAGGCTCACGTCTATCTGGCATCCCATGCTGATGTAGTTAATAGACACAATGATTCCGATCAGGTACGGGAACGACTGCTGAAGCACCGTGGGGCTGCGCAAGACGGCCACCAGGTAACTGCTCTCCGTGCAGTTTGCCTCGACTTCGTTCTCCAGCAGGCACGTCTGCGCATAAATTCAAAGTAAAATAGGTCTCAGATATGCTCGACCATAAATGTTGAACCATATCTATGAACCAGTGCAGGCATTCTAGTGAAATTTACAGGTAACAATATATACACACATTTATAGACATTACAGCTTGAAAGTGGCATTCTGTAGTCTGAGAGTATTGCGTTCAGGTGAAGCAAAACCACTTCAGCTGTTCAGTGAGGGCTTTGCGAGTTTCAGAGCTGAAGGCTTTATTTGGTTGATGAAAGGTCGATCGCCCAGCTAGCTCAAAGTATTTTCAATGAGACGAAATTGTTCTCTGATGCGTGAACAGCTAGAAGAAATTACCCGGCGTACAAAAATATAGCAATAAAGGATCTAGAATAAATCCTTTATACAAAAAAAAGAATAAAGGATAAAAAAGTCATTGGATCGACAAAAATATATATCGGGCTAGCTGGTTTACTTTTGTAATGTTTACACGCAACACGAGGAGAATAATTATGCCGTTCAGAATTCACCTTGTCTGCCGCGTAACTATTGCGCACTATTCACTGTACTTAGTGTAACAAAGTGCCAACACTGCAAAGACCAAGCATAGGTACTTTGAAGTTCTAGTATTTCTGCTGGTAGAATTATCCTGCCCATGCTAACCATGTCAAAACGCATTGAACAAGATTTTTTATCGTCTGCTGCAATACTCTTGAATAAGTCCAACCTTCTAGCAATTTGTTCAGGTGCACGTTATCACATTTCGTGGGTATGCCTAAACTAACCACCAGATTCAGATACCCTTTTAGGTCAGTGAAATCTCTAATACCTTCGAGCAATGGGAGGTAAAGCTCACCAGCTCTGGCCCAGAGGTACAGCTTGCGCTCCTGCTTGATTTCGGGCAGGTGACAGTAGCCACTGAAGACCAGTTCTTGGTGCCCCGACCATCGAGCTCATAATGCTTTCTTCCAAACCGTTCTGAAAAATTTTACCATCTTTCGCTAAAGGAAACCATGTGTATATGCGAAGCAGCGGGCGCTAACGCTCACGCTGGTGGCGGCGTTGACGCTGGTGCTCATCGCGGCGTTGCGTAGGGGCAACTTGTGGAGGCGCAAAGCATGCAGTGATGGACTGGTGTTTCCTACAGAAACACGCCAATCGCTGCTAATGGGCAGTCAGAGACGGAAGACTGATTGGTCGCAGAGTCCCGCCGTTCACTATTAGTTAACGCGCACGCTGCGAATTCATTGTTGAACAATGCGCAGGGGGTGGCCAGGGAACGGCTGTGCAGCGCGAGCAGTTGGTTTTTTTTTTTCATTCAAGAGACTCGCTAGCAGACGATGCATGCCTGCGACGGCGTCGCGAGGAAGGAGAGTGGGAGCGAGGAGACTGTGCACTAAGTGATGTCAGTACACGTCGCCAAATGGTCGAAATGTTCGGAGCCTCCCACTACAGCGTGGCTCTGAATCATATCGTGGTTTTGGCCCGCAAAGTGTCAGGTATTATTGTTGCTGCATGTTTTATGGCAGCCTCCTCATAATTATCAAAAAGGTAAATTCATACTATCTTTCGTACGTGCTTGTTTTTGTCGTCTTTCCCAGGTGGCATTCAAGTCACCCGCTGGAATAAATAAATGTGTCAGGCACTTCTCAGCTTGTGCTCCTATTCCTGTTGTCACCTCAAGTGCACCTTCTCGGATCACGCCAGCCAAAAGACGTCTGCACCCCACGACTTCCCTGAGAAAGTACACATTGACAGCTTTGTCTTGGCGCACCAGTAGATTATGTAAGATAAAGCTGTCATCGAGTCACACTTGCAAACACTCCACAGATACACATAAGGCCGGTAAGAAGTTTCTCCGTGACCCTCTCTGCCTCTGAGTGTGTTGCCTATCTCGGGTAGTATGGATTCTCATAGGCTTTTCTTGTTGTAGTGCAAAACTGGCTTAGCACGAATGAGCAAAAAGCTAACAACATATCAGCATGTACTAAAGAAGAAGATAAAGGAGATTGCTTTTTTTTTTCATTCTGCCTTGACGCTTGAACCAAGTAGGGCTAAGACAAGACAATGTTTTGTTGTAACAATTCACAATCTACCACACTTGAGAGCTAAGACCTTTTTCCTTCACCCCGTGTAACGGCAGGGTCTTGTTTGACCAGGTGGATTTTCTATGGCATGCTCAACGTTATCTCGGCTTTCTTTCTGGGAACGCACAATAAGCGGGCGGATTGGCTACCTTGAAGACAACTGCACCTGCTACAAGAGAAGTCAGAAGCGTGAGACGATGGGTAACAACGGAGTCGCGTGTTTGTTTTAATAATTGTCGTTTTGCGTAACATACGATTTTAAGAGACATTGTATTGGAGGGCCCTGCTTATTCATATCATCTGGTGTCGCTTAACGGGCCCCGACCTCACACAGAACTCCAGCATTTCACCCCCATAACAATGCTACCACTGCGGCCGGAATCAAACCCACAACATTCGGATTAGCAGCCGATCACCATAACCACTGAGCCACCGAGGCAGACGACGTACTGTCTTAACTGACAAGCCTTGGACATGCTTTCGTAAAGATTAAGTCATCTATACTCTTGTTCTCTGCGCTTAAACGCAGACGAACATAAAGTTAAGAAGAGGACACACTCGGACAGTCGCCACAAGTCTTGGTCGCCTCCGCTGGCGGCACGTCTTACCTATCTTGCTTCAGTATGCAGCAGACGTACTTCGTATTCCGCATGGAGTACGTTCGTATTTTGTAGCACGTCAGTGCGTCCGTATTTTCGTATTCTTATTCTCACGAGTTCCCGTGCCCATACATGAACGACGCTACCGTGCGTCGTGGTGGTGACCAGCTAGAGACTCAGACCCTAAGGTCGTCGTACCAGAAGCCCATCGAAGCTTGGTTAAAGTTCTCACGTTCCATTAACCCATTGGAATTATGTCAAACCCAACTTGCCCATCTAATTGCTTTTCATGCATTAGCGCTGTTCATGTGACATTCGCAGGGTCCTTCTTCCCTTTTCAGTAATCTCAGTATTACTGTGGTAAGATGGCGGAAGCATTTTCTTGTTACCCTCGATTTTCACATTTATTGCGTTAGCAATTATGAAGACTCTCGGCTCGATGTCACCGCCAGCGTCGGCACGGGCGTAGGCGTCGATGTCATGCATCGTATGTGTATACGTATCTATATATATGAAAACGCAAGAAAGAAAAAAAATCCTAGATAAATTGGGGGCCCCTTAAGCTTCACCTTTAAGAGTTGAACGCCATAGCGAAATCCGACCCCTAGTGCGCCCTTCAACCGCTAAGTGCATACTTAATAATATGTTGTGTTACATAAACACACACGCGCGCACGCACACACGCACACTGTAGATCATACCAGCGCGCGCGAATGGTACATACAGGTTTGTTTATCTAAAGCAAGAGTCCCATGGCCTCCAAGATGCACGCCGCACGCTCGCCATCTCGGAATCCATAAAAAGTCTCACAATGGCTCACAGATAGCAGCACATATCTAGCGTTTGCTGTTTGCTTGATCAACGCCTCTGGAAAAGCATGATATGTTTTCAGCTAGATGGACATAGTTGTTCATTTTTGATTGATTTGTGGGGTTTAACGTCCCAAAACCACCATATGATTATGAGAGACGCCATAGTGGAGGGCTCCGGAAATTTTGACCACCTGGGGTTCTTTAACGTGCACCCAAATCTGAGTACACGGGCCTACAACATTTCCGCCTCCATCGGAAATGCAGCCGCCGCAGCCGGGATTTGAACCCGCGACCTGCGGGTCAGCAGCCGAGTACCTTAGCCACTAGACCACCGCGGCGGGGCAGTTGTTCATTTTTAGAGCTGTTTGAAAGTTCCTGTGGGTTTTTAGCGGCGATGACTGCACTATGCCAGCCTTTCTCGGCGTAGTTTGAGGCTTCCCAAATGCGCCTATACAAATGGCCGAATGGGCTAGTTTTCGTCGTTACACCTGTCGAGTGAAATAAGTTAAAGGGGACCTGAAAAACTTTTTCAAGTGTTTCAGATGGCGCAGTGATGACGCAGTGAGCGAAAATGGCGCAGTGAGCGCACGGCGGCTCTCATCTATCACGCGTCCTTTGGCCCGCGTAGACTATAAGGGGGTGTACACTCGATCGCAAGCCCCTATCTTGCAGTGGGGAGAATCGTACATCTTGGCTAGCCTTTGAGTTTCGTCGGAACGATTCTGTTGTAGTTACAGGGCGCACAAAGGTCACTGCAATCGTTGCACAGCCTCCGTTTACAAAAAGGGACCGCTCTTATTCGCGTTAATATGTACCTGTGATTACGTTTCGTGTGTCTTTTGTGCGTTATAAACGCGGGGCACGCTTTGATCTCCTTGCAATTCTGCGCATGACCTTCCAATTTGTTGCTATCACGTTAATTGCTTCACCTTTGCGGCAAAGCTGTGACTTTCACATTCAACCAATGACTACACGTATCATTGTCACGTGGCTAGGAATTCTATCTAACTGTTTTTCATGTGTGAGTGGCCCCTACTGCTGGCCGCCAACGTCTCATACTTATGTCGATAGGAAATGTGACTGTATTACAGGGAAGCGCCACGTTTCAACTGTAACTGTACAATGAACGCTTTAGCAATGTCGGTTTCTTTATTAGGAAGGTGAGCGTGATTTGTAACACCTTATCTTGTAAACCTTTCCCAGCAGACCTCGTCAGTCGCAGTACAGGTTCTCTATGATGTATACTAGTGCATGTTTAGTCTTTACTGAAGATAAGGAAGAATTATGCGTAGCTCAAACTGACTTAACGTCACGAAGGCTGATTAAACGGAAGCACCAACACAACTTTCCTCCGCTCTCACTAACAAATACTGCATAGCTTCTTTAAAATGCACTGAAAGGAACCCGGCCGGAAGTGCACATGGGAGCTGCAACGCATGATAGTTCAGCGAGCATGGGAATTGTGGGTAGTACACGGATTTTTATTTGTCTAATCTTCGTACTTTAGGCTACGTTTCACTTCGCGG